ACACACACACACCACACACACACATATATACATATATATTATATATATATATATAATATATATATATATAATATATTATATATACATTCTCTCTCTCTCTCTCTCTCTCTCTCTCTCTCTCTCTCTCTCTCTCTCTCTCTCTCGTCTCTCTCTCTCTCTCTCTCTCCTCTCTCTCTCTCTCCTTCTTTCTTTCGATTCCTCAGGAGCTAAAAACATCGGATAGCAAAAGAAAATTAACCAATAACCTATTTATTACATTACAACATCAGTGTAAAACAACCTTCTTTGAAAAAGAACGCACACACGAACGTACAAAAATGGATATAAAACAATGATTAATCTAACTCCGGATTCGAGTCTTCAGGTCACGGATTCCGATGACCTTTTTGCCAGCGAATACTAGGTCACTCTTTTTGAACATTCGAGGAAGCTTAGACGTCGCCCTTCGCCCACGGCCGTCTCTTGGCCGTTGGTGGACTATCTATGTCCTGTAAATGTGTGTGTGTGTGTGTGTGTGTGTGTGTGTGTGTGTGTGTGTGTGGTGTGTGTGTGTGTGTTGTGTGTGTGTGGTGTGTGTGTGTTGTGTGGGTGGGTGGTAAATAGGCCTAGACAGATAGATGGGTAAAAGCTAGAAATGTACAGTTGCTTCCATATGCCAAACCTACAGGAATAAAAGGATATTTACAAAATATCAGTCCTCTACGTAACAAGGCCATACATACCGTATTTCACTGTACTTTCGAACACGTGCTTGTGATTCACAGAACAATTAACAAACTAAATACCAAATTCTGAACAGATATGCAACAAGAAAGCATCACATTATGCATATCAGGAAGACTTTAACACAATTGGAAGACAACCTATACATATACAGATAAATCCAGTATCCAACGTTTGGTACCAACAAAAAATATACATGTCAAATACAGTCCACGTCCTCCCGATGCAATAGAAAGAGAAGCAGCATGGACCAGGCCGCTCTCCAGTGGGTCAGAACAAATCACTTTGCACAAAAGAATTTGAACAGACGGAACAATACGGGTCGTTCTTTCCTCATAAGAGAACTTCCCAGCATTGTAAATACAACTATTTTTAGTAAAATAGGATTCAATGAAATCTTTACCTCACATATTGTTCAAAATGGCATAGAATTATCATCTACCTTAACATTTCATCCTATGAATAAAAAAAAACACGGTTATACAAGACCTTGTCAACAAAGAATGAGAAATCAACTCACAGGTTACGAGAACTGGTGAAAACCTTCCATGCGAGAAACTGTGAAGTTCAGGTATGATGAGATTATATACTTTTTGGTTTCAGCGCACGTCCGACAAGAGTAATTCTACAAATGAAAAAAAAAATAGTATTCCAGGCTGTGCTATACTTGTTAGAAGTGTTCGTGTGGAATGATTGCCAAAGGCGGTGTTAGTCGCTTGGAAATGAGGGATATGCTGTGTATAAGCAGTTACCTGGGAAAGAACTCAAGAGAGATGGAAGGCAGAGCGACATCTGGTTAACCAAGAAAGCGAATCTATGCCACTGCTACGGGTATTTCATGAAGAATTTTCATCTCCTCTTATTTTGCTGTGATGATATAGCGTCATTTCACCTTTGCTGCATTATCTACTTGCAAACTATTCGTCAATTTAGGGCAATAGGAACAGACCTCCCAGCGTTTCCTAATAATATCTCTACCGTCTTTGTTTCCTCTTTAACATACTTCCTTTGGGGGGGATTCAGAATCTTGTCTGAGCCTGAAGATGGTCCTTCAATCTGTATGGAATCGGAAGGGGCTTGCTGCTGCGGCCGTGGCTCTGCTTTCCCAACGAGAGAGAAATGTCGAGTGGCTCCCAGAGAGGCAATGTGATCTCCCGAGTGTTGGAGGGAAGCTGACACGCTGGCCTAACGCAGTGATGGAGCCTCGCTGACTGTTGGCTTGGAAATAGGTTGGTGTGCGATATGACCTGCCTTTATGCCTCTCGTGTGTTTACGTATTTTTGTAAGTTCTAATCCTATTTTAATTATGTTTTTAAGAACCATTTTATCTTTAGCTTTATTGTTTTTGTCTAATTGCCTCTTTTTGGTTCATTATTACAGCATTGATAATGGAGAGTTGATTGATCTCCGAAACGTTTGCAAATAAACATGAAATTGTTTACGACTGTCTTAGTCTACCTCTTCAGTGTGCAAGGGTAAGCATATCTGGAGACAGATACATAGATGTCTATCTGGCGGTATGTCTTTATCTATTTATCCATCTATTGATACACAGATAGATAATATGATTTTGAGGGCTTGAATATATACATTCGAGATATAGACATATAGATAGATCTAGGTACTTGCTTATACTCCATGCGTTATGTATGTGAATCAGTGAATGAGTGTGTGTAACCGTGTGTGTACGTACGAGCATACATATACGTTTAAGAAAGCGAGTGTGCACATGAATCCACTGGCGCCAAAGCCCTTAGAAGTACATATACCGCGACTTTTCAAGATCTAGCTGGAGGTTCTTGTACTGCTTGTCCGTGAGCGCCTGCCACCGGTGACCCAGCATCTGCGACACCTCGCGCTCCATCGCCTCGTAGGACCTCGCGCTCCGACGCAGCCAGTCGTAGAACTCGAAGGTCCAGTCGGGGTTCATGGGCCAGTCCGCCTGCGTCGATGTATTCATATATATATATATATATATATATA